TATAGAACTCTTGTATCATACCTTTGATGTCTTCTTTCACTACTTCCCAGAATATAAGATAGAAGGACATGGGAAAACCATCGAGCCCAGGAACTTTCTCCATAGCACAAAGTTTAATGCATTCTAGAATCTCCTCCTCCTCAATTTGTTTCTGTAACTCTTCCTTTTCATCCTCATTAATACAAGTAATCCCCTGCAATTGTAATTTTGGCCTCCAAACTTCTGTCTCCTTGTACAAATTTTCGTAGCAACTCTTGATGGCCTCCTTGATATCAGAAGGATCAGTGACATTGCTTCCCTCCACCTTTAAAGATTCTATGGTGTTGTATCATTTGCAAGATGTAGCTATTCTATGAAAAAAACTTTGTGTTCTTATCCCCCTGCTTCAACCATTGTATTCTAGATCTTTGTTTCCACCTTATCTCTTCATTTTTGACAACTTCTTCAAAGGACATTGCCAAATTTGTTTTTTGCATTAATTCATCATCTGTAAGTGGTCTTTGCTCCTTTGCTCCTGAAGGATCTCCCATTTGGACAATTTGTCAAGGATTTCTTCCTTTTGTTGTTTCCAGTTGCTCCTATTATTCTTGCTCCATTCCTTCAATTTCCTTTTAAGGAGTTTCAGCTTTTCAGCTAAGACAAAACCTGTTGTACCAGTAACTACAAATGATGACCACCAGAAACTCACTTTCTCCTTGAAGCCTTCAACCCCATCCATCAGTTTTCAAATTTGAAGTATGACTTCTTGAAGTTCCTGTCTCCACAAGTCAGTAGAACTGGGTTATGATCAGATACCAACTTTGGAAGAGTTGATTGTCTAATGAGGGTGAAGAGTTCCTCCCATTGAGCAGAATACATTATTCCGTCAATCCTTGATGCAGTTGTATGGTTCTCTCCTCTTCTCCAGGTGAAAGACCCTCCAAATAAAGGAGGGTCTGTAAGCTCCACATCCTCAATACAATCAGAGAATTCTGACATAGCCCCATTGATAGATGAACAGTTTGTTCTTTCTGATGGATATCTGATGACATTAAAATCACCACACACTATTATGAGCCTACAGGCACGAGGAAGCACTTCAGGATTAAAAGAATGGAGGAACGCTATGGAGCAGGAGATGTTAATGATCAAGAAAAAAAAACTTGGGAGTTAGTTGGCAGGCCGAAAGATAGGAAGGTCATTGGAGTAAAACAGGTGTTTAGAATCAAGCTTAGTTCTGATGGTTTTATCAATAAAATACAAGGCTAGGCTTGTTATCAAAGGATATGCTCAAATATTTGGTGTTGATTACTTGCACACCTTTGCTCCAGTGACCTGATTTGATACCATGTTGCTAGCAATAGCAGCACAAAAGGGCTGGAAAATGTTCCACCTAGATGTAAAATCTGCTTTATTAAATGGTGTACTACATGAAGAAATTTATATAGAGCAACCTGAGGGTTGATTAAGGAAAAGAAGAAAAAGTATGTCTGCTTAGAAAGGCTCTTTATGGCTTAAAACAAGCTCTTAGAGCTTGATAAAGCGGGGTTGATGATCACTTGTTGAGTTTGGGGTTTGTCTAAAGTATATCTAAACTTGCTCTTTATGTCAAACATAAAGGAATTGATCTTCTCATTGTTTCCCTTTATGTTGATGATCTCTTGGTGACGTGAAATAATGTATGGCTAGTTGAAGAGTTTAACAAGGAAATGATGCAAGTGTTTGAAAGGACAGACCTTGGCCTAATGACATACTTTCTGGGAATGGAAAATCAAGCAAGGTTGTGATGAAATTTTTAATTGCTAAAAGAAGTATGAAGGGGAGATACTTAAGAAATTCCATAAGGAAAATTGCAAGGCAACAAGCACACCAATGAATCCAAAGGAGAAGCTAAGCAAAGAGGATGAAGTTGATAAAATTGATGAAGGAAATTTTAGAAGGTAGATTGGATGCTTGATGTATCTCATTGCAACAAGGCCAGATATTCTATTTGTTGTAAGTCTCTTATCTAGATTTATGCATTGTGCTTTCGAAATGCATTTGCGAGCAGCAAAAAGAATTATAAGATACATAAAAGGTAGGAAATTTATCAAAACAACAAATATTTAGCATTAAATAGGACCCTTTAGCTATACTTTCAATATTTACAATAAACAACTATATCTTAGTTTGCTATGAAATTATTTTTTGTATTTTTCGCATGGTTTTCACTTGAAATAATACAAATACAAAATAACCAACTAAGTAAATCATGGAAGAGAATTTTGCGAATTGGGTAAACATCCTGAAATTACTGTCTCATTACTTCCATGAGTCTCAAATAGACAATTGATTCTCCTTCTTCTTCCTCGAATTCAATTTGTCATGGATAATCGTCCTTGAAATTCAACAAATGATCAACTCATCATCGTTTTAATTTCATTTTTCGAGATCAATGATACAAAAAAATGAAGCAGCAGTTCATTATTAGAGCAACGGATTGTTGACTAGAGAAGAAATTCGCAGGCAATTCAGATTTGATTTTCGAGATTTAATCGATCATGTATTGTGTCAAATTTTTGGGGAGTAATTGAAGGATCTATTTCCGATCACAATCTGAAAATTTCAAAAAGGTCGTACATTCATCATCGTGTTCTTCGATGGCAGTAAGAAGAATTTTCTTTCGGTTAAATGAAGACGGTGAAGATTTCATTTTCACAAGGAAGAAATCTTAAATTTTGGAGAAAATAGGTTTTTATCTTTAAAAAAAAAATTACAATTGGAATACAATAATACAATTGATGATGTGATCTGCATTGTAAATTGAATGGATTCAAATTATTATGATGGATGATTGGGACACAAATTTATCAGGAATATAATTTAGAAGATTTGATCCAAATTGTATATTGAATATAAGAAATTTTGAAATACAAAATGAGTTTAGAATACAATTCTATTTAGAACACAATTTGTTTGGATGATTGGAATACAAATTTATTTAGAATACAATGATAATTTGATCCAAATTGTTTATTGAATATAATAAATTTTGGAATACAAAATTAGTTTAAAATACAATTCATTTAGAATACAATTTGTGTGGAATACAAATTAGATTGGATTATGATCTGATACAATTTTATTTAGAATACAAATTTATTTGGAATACAATTTAGATTACCTGACCCAAATTATATATTGAATACAAGATTAGTTTAGAATACAATTTTTTTTAAAATAGAATATGTTTATGAAACAGAAAAATACAAAAAAGCCCGAAAAAAACCAAAAACATATAAGGATTGAAACAAAATATAAAACAATTGAAAACCCTTATTGGATTTGAATACGGAAGAGAAAAATATAAAAAAGCCCCAAAAATATAAATTAACTCTCCAAGATTATCAATAAAATCTCAATAACTATATACCCAAAATTAGATTACTCGAATCAATGAGATTCTGATGTAAATCCTTTGTATGACTTTTTCCATTTTGAAAAAAAAAAAAGGGGAGAGAATCTGGGAGAGAGAGAAGGGGGAACAAAAATGGAAAGAGGATGTATTTTAGGATGATGGTTATAAACATTTAATTTGCTAAAAACATTAAAAAAAATTGTTCTTTTTCATAATATTTTTAAACTATAGCTATTTTCAATAAATAAGTTGATAATTTTGACTAGTTCTATAATTTTTCCTAAAAGGTACTATCGAATATGGTGTCAAATTCAAGAAGAGTGAGAATTTCAAGTTGTATGGATCCATAGACGATGATTGGGCTGGATCAATTGACAACATGAGAAGTACATCAAGATGTGGCTTTAGTCTGGGATCAGGGATTTTCTCTTGGTGTTTTAAAAACAGGAAACTATGGAACAATCCACGGTAGAGGCTGAACTCATTGCAGCAACGGCAACAGTAAAAAAACATTATGGCTGAGAAATATTTTCTGATTTGCATATATAATTTTTTATGCAAAAAATGCAACATTAGTGGAAAAAGAATAAAGCATGGTGCATCTTTTATTTGTCCAACAATATCAATAGTTTATGCATTATTTAGTAAGTTTATGTTGCTTAGTGCATCGGATTAGCTGACACTATAAGCTGAAAGTTAAACATAATTGGGGTACTAGTATAAGAATTATAAAAATCCAAAATGGCACAAAGAAAATTCATTTCTTTTTTTAATGAATTGTTGTCTTTTTTTTCTCATTTGAATCAATTGTTTCTTATATTTTTATATACGGTTAACAACTGAACAACCTAATCAAAACCGGTAACAACCAAACCGATAAATAAATATTCTATATGGTTTGGTTTTTAATAATTTAAAGACCAATTAAATTGTTCTGATTGTTGTTTCGACCAATAACCAACTCAAACCAACCCGTGAACAGCCCTACCTATAACTATTGAGACACTTCTATGACTTATAATTGTTTCTTATGCTTTAATTATGCATGTAATTAATGGAAACGGATTAAAAAGGGAATTAGAACCACCTACTGGGGTTGTGGAGTAGGAGCCATGACGGTTTAGGGGTTTTGGGTCGTGACACTGTCAATACGTATCTTGAAAAAAAAATGTGTCATGACCGACTGTTCAGAAGTTGCAGCATACATGCATGAATGTAAAAAGAATAGCTCTTTTATTACAGTTCAAATGCATCTACCTGTCTGCTATTCGACCTAAATGACTGTGCAAGGCACAGTGTGACAATTGTTCCATTGCATTTCAGGATGCGAGTGAACCAGATTCAAATTCAAATACTCCTTTGTCCCATTTTATGTGACACCATTTGACTTGGATCCGTATTAAGAAAAAAGAAAGACGTTTAAAACTTGTGCTCTAAACTAATCCTTAGATTTGGGTGGCAATAAATCATTTCAATAAAGTAAATGGGAAATTTTAACGTTAAATTATTTTTAATTATAGTAAGGTGATATTTTTTTTGGGACGGATTATAAAGAAAAGGGTGTCACATAAAATGGGACGGAGGGAGTAGCAAATAGTAACATAATAAGAGTTTGATGAATAACCTTGATGGAGATGATGTCAGCATATTCTGTGCCTTGAATTTCATTTTTGCTGCCTTTGACGCCTTGCTGGATCAGGTTGTTGTTTGCAGTTGCTATTGCAGTTTGGTCATTCCTTAACTTATCTAACATAACACGAAGCTCCTCATTTTGCTTGAGACAATCTTTGACCTGCATGGAAGTACTTCAAAAATAATGTCTCTGACCAGAAGAGAAACATTCGTGACATTGGAGCTACATTACCAAGGGTGTAACTACAATAGAATATGAAGAAAACTATCCCGTACACCAAAGAAGGAAATATACTCAACCAACTGATTGCATCTAAGAGCAAAAGTTAGATAAATGAGACCGCTGTTGCATATGGGAATTTTTCTAAAGCACATCTTATGCTTAAGGAGTACAGAAAAATCACGCGTAGCCAAACTGAGTAAACTATTGAAATCTTCAAGAATTTGCAGGTAGCAGAAGCCAGCCAACCCAAAAACTTCCTCAAGAAGAAGATGCTTTATTGTTCTGATTTCTGAATCAAAGAAAGGTTCGACATCTTTTTTGTTCTCACTGGTACTACTAGCACTTCATGCTTTGATTTCAATACGGATATGATATCAGACACATTCACCAAGACTATTTGGTTTTGACGGTTAACAAATTGCAGGAATGATTGCCAAGTTCTTCCCATGTAACTCTTTTGCAATCACCAATACTTTTCAGTACTAACCTTATGAGAGAAACGACACTCATAAGTCATAAACCTTCCTCCAATCTGTCAACTATTTATTACAATCAAAGATTACATTAAGGAAAAGTAAACAGACTTGTCAATAATTATATACAGAGCATGATTTACTACTATTGAAACAGGACATGGAAGAAACTACATATAAGAAAATATTTCAAAGTAAACTTCAAAACAATGTGAATAGGCATCATACCATCTTCTCATCCTAATTTAACTTCAAGCACTTGAAATTACCTGATTCTCCCACTGCACCGCCACCCCTAAAGCTTCTTGATGAGCAGAAGAAAGATTAGAATTTTCCTCATATAATCTCTCTATCTCTGAGGATTGTGAATCAATCTGAAATAAGAACAGAATGGAATGATTTCAAATTTCACATTGCAAAATGAAAAACAAAATAAAAATAGAGGATGGAGGATATACCTCCATTAGAAGTTTCTGCCGGCTACTTTCCAATCTTTCAATAGCCACTGCCATATCATGTAATTGCTTTTCAAGCCTCACCTTGTCTTCCTTAAAGGGTTGAAATAAGACCTTAAACTCAAAGAACATTGTTCTACCAAAAGTTTATAATACACTTAACCACATGAGTGTTACCAAAGTACGACCGAAAACATTTTTTGAAGGGGCCAAAAATTTGAAGGATATTAGCAAAAGAATTTAGTTGTGATAAAAAGACCTTAAGAAACAAACCCAAAATTGAGGAACTGTTTTTGCACAGAAAAAAATGAGTCAACAGGGCAATTACACTGCAAGGGGATTTAGCAGCATGATATAAAGAATAATAATTTTAATAATGTATAAAAAAAAAATTTAAAAGAAATTATCAAAAATAATGTATGCTCATTGGAAGATCATTTTCCTTTCCACAGAAAACATTAGCCAACTCAAATTTAACATGCTGAATTTTATTTATCAACTGCAGACGCATTGATTACCTCTGAGAATGTCTTCTGGGATGCCTTTCCGGTGACTTCACCTGTAATAAATAGCACAATAATACAGAAAAGGCCAACAGATATCACGAGACAGCCAACTGGTCGTTAAATGATAGATATTACAAGCGAAAGAGAAGTTCATGTAATGCATATGATTTATAGTTTACTATGTTAGGTGATTCTTGTTTCTTTTTCACTTCCTAAATTTTGTTGTGCAGTAATATTTTCAGATTGCAGTTTCAAAAAAATCTATTTTCAGATTGTTTGCACTCCCCTTCGCTTGCTTCGATATGACCTACATTACTTTCTATTATTATTGATTGACATGAGTCAATTGGATAATGACCTTCATCAATCCACATAGGCTCTTCTGATATTATGGAGTGGACACCCTCAATTTTGAGCTTATAACTACTATTTTACCTTTACCTCCGAAGTCTTTTTTTTCCTCAACAATTTGAAAGTTGTGAAAATTATGCTTCCTTCTGTCTCTTCTCTCTCCCCGTAACTTTCTGCCTCTTCTCTTTCCATGTAACCTTCTCTCCTTTGCCACATACGCCAGGGTCACCGACCCATCTCCCCTACACCACCGCATTGCAGACCCATCTGTCCTACCCACTGCGTCGTCGATCCATCCCTCCTACGCCACCTACCACCATTGACACTGACGTTCCAGATTTGGTATGTTTCAGGTTTTTTCTCTCCTCTTTTCTGCTACGGACGGAACCCTAGTTTCTGGTCCACTATTAGAGCCAGAGAGACCCGGTGACCTCAACTTTGTCATCTGTCTCTTCACCGAACTGCCGCCAATTCTGTGTTCTCCTCCAAGATCTGACCAAAGAAGTGATGCTACTTTCCAGCAACCTCTATACCAACAAGGTCCGACCAGTATCAAATTGGAGCAGTACTCCTAGCAGCTAGCAATTTTCAGCTACTTCGTGAAGCCATAAAAGCAGGTTCTTTGTACTTCAAGACTTGCCGCACCACAGGTTTCTTTGATCTGTATTTAAATTTTTATTTGGCTAAGCTATATTCTGGTTGGTCTTCGCAGTTTCTTGTTCGCTTTACTTTTGTTTTGACTCTTCCTCAGATGCTAGTTTTCAAAGTTAATTATTGGGAGATTGTGTATTCTATGCATTGTTCCCCCCTTATCTGCCTTAATCCCTTGCCTTCTTGATTTTTGCTATAGTTCTGGTCCAGATGCTGTTTGTTTTTAGCTCTTGTCCAGCCTTCCGTATTTTTATATCTGCATTGGTGGCTTTAGGGTTTGATGGTAGTTTAAAGCAGAAGCGGGGGTCAGGGGTGGCAAGGATACCAAGGGAGATTGAGATTCTAGGTTGCAGATTAGGTCTTGGGACATAGGGAGCTTGAGGGGGAAATCAATAGAGTAAATGACGATTCTCAAGAAGAGTTAGATCAATGTAGCTTGTGTCCAGGAAACCAAATGGGTGGGAACCAAGGCAAATGTAGTCGGGTTTATGTTGTTGTACTCAGGAAGCTCGAGGAGTAGGAATGGAGTAGGCATTTTAGTTGATAGGGAACTCAGGGAGCAAGTTGTAGAGATTAGGAGGGTGAATGAAAGAATGACGACCGTTAAGCTAGTTGTGGGAGGGCTGACTTTTAACATAATAAGTGCACACGGTGCACAAACAGGTTTAGACGAGGAGGTCAAAAAGCTCTTCTGCGGGGATTTGTACGAGGTTGTGAGAGACATCCAGTACACCGAGAAGCTATTTTTAGGAGGAGATTTTAATGGTCACATAGGGACCACATTTAGGGGCTATGATGATGTACATGATGGTTTCAACTTTGGGGATAGAAATCAAGATTTCCACTTTTAATTTCACTAGTGCTTTCGATTTGGTCTTAGTAAACTCGAGCTTCCACAAGAGAGAGAAGCACTTGGTGATCTAATGTAGTGCGGCGGCTAAGACCGGGATAGATTACCTACTCCTTAGAAAGGGCGAAAGAGATTTATGCAAAGGACTTCAAAGTTCAAGGTTATTTCGAGGTGATGATCTCCTTGGCGACGCGTGGGAGGTAGATTCACAGCGGCTCCCATTGTGGTTTGGTAACAGGGAGACAATGTACCTTTGGGTAGCGTTGGTTTTCACACAACATTGATGAAAAGTGAAACTATGTAAGTCACATCTGAGGAGTCACGGAAAAGACGCACGAAACTACGCAAATAAGATTTGAGGAGTCACTGGATAGACGCACGGTGCTACACAACTTAGATAAGAGAAAGTAGTCTAAAAAGATGCATGATGCTACACAAATCATATATGAAAAAGTAGTCACTGAAAAGATACAAATCAGATATGAGAAAGTAGTCACCAAATATATGCACGGTGCTGTGCAAATCGGATATGAGAAAGTGGTTATTGGAAAAATTCACAGTGCTACACAATTCAAATCTAAGAAGGCACCGGAAAGAAGCATGGTGACAACTTTCTTTGTCTTAGATGCTTCTCTAATCAGTCCTTTCTTTTTTTTTGAGAAAAGGGTAACTTAGTATTCATTGAAAAAATTCATCATCCAAGAAATGATGAATTGGAAACTTACATCCCATAGTGTGATGGGACCACCCCATACAGTTTATCAGATTACAAGTTTCCTAAGAACTCTGCTACTTCTACCACCCCCCCCCCCCAACCAAATCTTGTTTACACCAAAAAAATAGAAGACTAATACAGTTTGTTTTAATCCTCTGACAAGTAATTTTCTGTCCTTCAAAGCACCTAGTGTTTCTTTCCTTCCATATGGACCACCAGATACATGATGGGATGAGCTTCCACCATTCTTCCTTTTTACCTCTGCTTCCAACTCCTAGCCAACTGTTCAGAAGCTCCAATGTAGTCTTTGGCATCACCCAACTAATCCCCAAAATGCATAAAAACATCCACAAACTGGTAGCTATTTGGCAGTGTATGAATAGATGGTTGTTCACTTCAGCTTCCTGTTCATACATAAAGCACCTTGAGCAGATTTGCATGCCTCTTTTCTGTAGGACCTCATGAGTGAGACATGCCTTCTTGATTAGTAGCCAAACAAAACATGAAACTTTCAATGGACATTTCACCTTCCAAAGCAGTTTCCAGGGCCATCTTTCAGCTCGTGAGACATTATGGTTCATCTTCCAGTAGCATGATTTCACTGTATAGACCCCTTTGTTGTGTATCTTCCATACTGGCTTATCAGAACTCTCAGAGTCCTTCTTAGCATGATTATTTTTCATGCATATAGTATTGTCGCAACTTTTGATAACATAATCATTGGCTAGACAGGCAGCTATATGAGTTATAACAGCCCGCCTGTTGCGGAAGCTTTTTTTATTATTTTCTACCAAGATCGTAGATACTCTAATATAATGTGAGAAATATTATAGAAGAATATTATTGAATTGTGTCTCTACATTATTATATTGAGACTATATTTATAGACACTACATTAGACTCCTTTTCCAACTAAGACACTACATTAGACTCCTTTTCCAACTAAGACACTACATTAGACTTCTTTTCCAACTAAGACACTACATTACAATCATTTTCCAAGTAGGATTCTATACACTATTCTTGTTCCTACTCCTATTCTAAATGAAATAAACCAATATAACTCTCCTCATATTATATATCAGTGAGCTCTTTGATGCCTTGTAACCTTATTTTAATTATGATATTCTTTTGATGCTCCATTCAAATAAGTTCCTACTGTGTTTAAATTTTGTTCATTTCTCTGTGACAACCAGCAACAGTAATAGTTACCTTATGATTTCATATCATCCTATTAAATATATGGTTAAAATAAGTTTCAATGGGATCTCCCAAGTCTAGGAGACCTTTGTTTGAGAGAAGTCTACCAAGATTTACAACTTGTCTTGGACCTTGGAAAACCGCAATCAAGCATGGAGGCCTTGAAAGCACTGTTGAAGCTGCAGGATCTGTGCAAGAAGCAGAGCATAGTTATCGCAGAATATACCCCGTGATCGGGGGAGCGCGCAGTGAAGGACACAATCACCAACAAGCCATCGCAATCATGGAAGCCCATGTCCCAGCCATCTGCGAGAGCGGATCCATGACCATGAATGCGCCGCCTCCAGGCCTAGTCCAAGATTGCGATCGCAGACCACTTGTCGCAATTAGGGAGAGTACTTAATCACCCTAGTTCCAGCTTTGTTAATTATAGCCTATTTTCTTTTAGGGCTTGTTAGACTTTATTATGTAATATTTAAACCTGGTATACAATGACAATAACATTCCCAACGAAATCCCACATGTGGAGTGTGGGGAGGGTGGCAGCCTTACCAATACTTTATAAGGACAGAGAGGTTGTTTTCGATAGACCCTTGGCTCAAGTAAAGCATATCAAACAATTTAAACCTGGTATAAATAAGTAGAAATATCTACTAACCAAAAATGGTTAGTTTAAAGCTTACATTTGATGAATGATGACTTTTGTGAGATTTGGAGAGATCACAAATCCACTTGAGGGTATCTTATAGAGTAGATGTTGCTTAATTGCTTGTTTAAGGTACTTAATCTCTATGAAATGTTCTAGATTCTGCAAATCTTTGCAAACTGAAAATGGAGTTCATTTTTTTATGACTGAGAAATTTGTCTGGAACCAACCTTTAGGGCCAAGTGCAGCCTTCGACAACTTAGAACGATAGGCTGCGCAAACTCAAATTTGTGACCTAGGACACAATTCCCTCAATCTTTGCATTGAGCACAATCCTAACCTCTCTAACAGAACGGGAAAAAAATTCCAACCATGTATCGACAACCCAGCAATCTTATCCAACACAGTTTGGCCTTATTTTTCAGTTTTCAACATAGCCACGGGTGACGAGTGGTATGTAGCTTCAAATCCTGCCACATTCAATCACCCATATTTAATGCTTTCCGCCTCCGTTCCCTATGAGAACTAAACGATGAAATATACACTATTTGTTATCTTTCACCTTTACACCAACCGATACTCTTCATGTTGCACATCCATCGCTCAATTTAAGATCTAGTTGGAATTTCTGATCTTAGATTTTTGGACCTACCGGCCTTGCACTATTCAAGATATTCAACTGTGATTTGGTCGATCTTTCACAATTATTTCATATTCTGCACCTTCAATATTGTGACAAATTTTGTATCATCAGATGGCTATCCTTCCGTCTTTACTTACTCCCTTACTCAATAACCTTTAAGATCAATTTCAATGTTTGACTACCATGTATCCTGTATCTGGACATTTACATTTATACAAATTGATAAGAGCTAAGCAATTCAATCTAAAATATTGAAAAATATATACCTGAGACCTTTTTGGACATAACAGCAAGCTTCTCTTCCAAATCCTGCCTTTGAGAACTTAGTGCAGATACATGCGCTTTCTCCTCCGCTAACTGCTGTCTTTCTTGTTGCGTCAACAGGGTCACTTGCTGTAATTACAAAAATGGTATAGCAAATAAATAAAGCTTAAAGAGGTAATCATGACAACATAAACAAACAATGTAACCTCTAATTGAGATTTTAAATTTGCTAGCTCCTTCTCCATAGCTTGCATATGATCTGGCGGAAAAATCATTGAAGTTAAACCACTAACAGGACCGGTCATTGCTTGCTGCTGTAATGAGTTTAGTTCTGCTCTTAGAGATCCCGCATCCTCTTCAGCCTAATCCCAAAAGGATTCAAACGTATTAAGGCATACTATTCCACTTCAACTCATTAAGTAAAAGAAAATACTAGCATACCCGATACTGTTCCTCTTCTACTTCCTTCAAGCGTTTCTTAATTGTACGAAGCAGAGCTGAAAGATCCTCCTATATTTAAACAACAGGGCTCATAGGAAAAAGACAGATGGAGCACATATAAGGTTAAAAAACAATAGAATGGTAGTAGAAATGATATGTACTCGTGCAACAACTGCTGCATCCTTTTCCATGGCAACATCCTTGAGTGCTTTTCTTAATGAAGGTATAGTGATTTGCTCCTGCACTTCCAAAGAAAAGAAAGTGAAGCCACCTATCTACTTTAAAGAGGTCTCAATATCTTACTTAAATTCCTTTTTATTTCTCCTTTCAGCAAAGTGAAGGCAAATTCAGAATGGTTTATCATCTAAGGAAAAGGATCCCAAGTGTGCAGAATAACGTATTGTATTGGGAAAGCGCAACCAAATATATTGTTGTACTAAGATCTTAAATTAAAGTAATTACAGCATCATGATCTCATCCATGAATGAACACAATAGTGCTAGGATATGAGCAGATAAAGACCATATTAATAAGGTAATGATATTTGTTTCATTTATTACAATGTCTATAAATAATACTCCCTCCATCCCATAAATGTGAAGGTGTTAGATTGGGCACGGAGTAGAATGAAGGATGTACTTTTGAAACTTGTAGTCTAAAACAAGTCATTAAGAAATGTGTGGGGGTAAATTGTCTCATTAAGGGTTAATGGGAGTGTCACATAAATTGAGACAAAGGGAGTAGGAACAACGTCCACTACCTAAGTCATACTTTATCAAAGTCTTTGTATTCTTATTTTTTTTTTTTTTGAGAATGAACTTTATCAAAGTCTTTATATTCACTCCTAATACTTGCTGATTGTTAAAAGTTACAATCATTAAAGGGACATTATCTAGCTGTTACTGTGGCGCAACTGAGATGTGGAAATGAGTGGTGTTTGAGCTTTATAAGGGGTTCTTCAATTGGGAAATTGAAGGATGACTACCTTGCTGCAAGAATTGAGTCTGGTATCACTAGATGCTGAAATGAGGATTCTTTGCTATGGACTGGACAGAGCAACGGTGATTTCTATGTACAATCCTGCTATATAATTTTGGTAACAGCAGAAAATTTTTCTTCATGGCCTTGGAAGATAATTTGGGAAGCCAAAATTACTTTATAAAGTGGCATGTTTCAGCTGCATATTGACTCATGATGGATGCTTGACAGAGACAAATTTCCAGAAAAGAGGTCTGCAGTCATGCAGCAGATGATTCCTTTATGGGAAGGGAATTGAGGATAATAGGAATTCCAGCACTGTGAGGTCGTTAGTTACCTTTGATATCTCTTTTTCGGTATCTTTGGGCTGGAACATGTTTTTAATGGACGAGAATTTTATTTGGAGCCAAACTCAACCTTAGAAACTCAAGGATGATGAGTCTAATCCTCTACCCTTCTCCACTAAAAAAGTTAAGACTTAGTTTGCTTGGCACAAAGGCTTGAATCTTAGTGCTGGAAGTTTATATGAATGAAGCATTTACCATATAAAAAAAAGGAACACTATGGATTTGAATCCCATACATTGATGACTTTCAAATAACTGATCATAAAACTTTTTCCAGTAAGAACTTATTCTATGTGGACCATTTACATGACTAGTCTTCATTGAAGAAACTATAACTAAAATACAACATCTTTTTCCTCAGATAAATAAGTGTAAATATGGCATTTGAAAGCTGCATTACCAGATCATTAAGACGTTTTTGCAACATGTTGTTCTCAACTTCTTTTGTCTGAAGCTGAAGAAGAAAATTTTAGAACAAGAGATATTCATTAGTACAAAAAAAAACGTATTCAAAATGAGGGAGGAAAGAAGTAAATACCTTTGAGGCGAGTGCTCTATTTTCTTCATCTAGTTGTGTGTTTTGTTTTTGCACAACTTTCAATTGAGAAACTAAGGCAGTGATATCATTCTGCAGATGTATACATAACTCAAAAAAATGAATATTAACCTAATGGTATTCTTAAAGCAGTGCAGTTTGTGAAAAGGAAATTGAGTTTACCTCTGATAAGCGAGTTGCACTCTGAGATTTTGTAATCCCCAAATCCTCTGGCAAAATATAAAAAAAAAATTGAAGATGAGAAGAATGGAGAAAGAGGAGGATTGTTGATTAAATTTTGTTACCAGGTTTAGCAAGATCTGGTCCAGAAGATGTCTTGCTTAATCTCTCTGCTGCTCTCTTTTGACGAATTTCTTCCAACTGCATACATACAAACAAGATATGGAAAATTTTGTAAATGAGAAACGAAGATTGCGGAGCCTAAAATTCATACCGTTCGACGACCAAGGGAGGCGTGACGAGACTCCATACCCCAAATCAAATCCAATGCGAGGAAGGACCCTTCTCCGCTCCTTTGCCTAACCCAACTTCCCTTTAACACAAAAAAGAGGAAAATAAGAAACTTTTCATTTTCTTTCTTAACAAATATGACAAAATTGAATAAATCTTTATTTTGTTTTTCAAACACTTTCTCACCTTAAAATGATGTAATTAAGTTAATTTGGACAAAATTAATGTTTTCAAAACTTTCTAATCATCTCACATATCATATATCATACAATAACTTTCGCATATAACCACTCAAAAATAGTCTAATTACGCTCCATAACCATAGTTTAATAATTACAATATGTAGCTACATATTATAGGGAGAAGAGAGATTGGGAAAGAGAGGAGAGAGGCGAGCGAGAGTGGGAGAGAGGTGAATTGTATATGTATATCGGTTAGATAATTGTATATTATATATATGCATGTGTATATATGGCAAGCGAGACTGGAGAGGGAGGAGAAAGGCAAGTGAGATTGGGAGAGGGAGGAGAAAGGCGAGCAAGAAAGGACAATAATTTGTATAATTCACATCTCATTTGTATAATTCACGACTACATTTGTGTAATTCGCGTCTTTTTGTATAATTGATTAATATAAAGTCTGGAATTATACAAATATGATAAAACTTGAAATAACGAATTGATACAAACATACGCATATGAACTTTAAACAGTTATACAAAATATATTATACAAATTACATTATATAAATTATATTACACATATGAACTTGAAAACTACATGTTTATACAAACTTTAAAAAGTTATATACAAAAAGATTGAATGTATATGGTGACAAAACTGATAAACCAAAGGAAATCATCGTCATATACAAATATAAACCATCATATACAAATGCAAATCGAACGAAAAATTGCTAGTTGTGAATTATACAAATGTGGAGAATTATACAAACATGACTAATTATACAACTTGAAGTCAGCCCACGTAATTAATGGTTAATGTTAGTCGCGAGTGGCAATTATAGCAAACTATAGCTATGAGAGTAATTAAATAATATAAGTTTGCTTAATTGGTGGAGATTATGAATGGGCGAACTTGGATAAACCACCGCCAAGATACTGGCTTATGAAGATGGCTTCTTTGCTTGGTTATGTTGATGAGTTTGTCTATGATAGATGGCTTGAACGGAAAAAGTCAGAACGGATGTTGAATTCCTACAAGATGCTGGCAGCTAATTTTGACAGGTCCGTTAGTTTTTTGTATCTTTCATGTGAACTTAATAACGTATTGAAACATATCTTGATACATCCGTCTTTTCTAAAAGAATATGTTGATTCACCTATCTCAAACATAATTCTTCAGTTATGCTCTTTGATCTTAAGATATTACACGACACCTGTTGGATCTATAGTGGTGGCAATCAGGTAGTTGTGTTGAATTTGAGCTGGTTAAGAACCAACTAAAAAAATTGGCACAAACTAACTCAACCTATATTTAATATGTGTCAAAAATTGGGTTAGATGATAAGTAATATAGCTTAGACTTGCATCTTGTTGGTGCTCTGCTTGTTAGACATAAAATTTAAAATATAAAGAAAGAGAGTAAATATCTACTACTTGGATCTAACCTTCCTTCACATGTTGATGCAAGCAATGAATGATCATGTGCTTATAGAGATTGAAGTGTGCTCTTACAATCCTGGATCGAGGATTTCTGATCCGCGATGGGTCATTAAGCTGTTTGGATCGTAGCTCATTCCTCCGTGCCTCTATCAGTTCGTCTTCATATGAACTTATACTCTCACTATCGTATGATGTTGGGTCATTGGTGTAAAAACCCAAGCTATCAGAACTTGCATCTGATAGCTCATCGATTTTGCCCTTGCCCTTGCCTCAATTGCTCGCACTAGAAGGTTTCGAAACATTGCTTTTAGATGCAGTTGCATCATCATTGATTGTTATCCTTTTTTTCTTACTTTGAGTTGGCTTGTTGCTTCTTGTAACTTTGGGTCTGGCCATGTCTGCAGTCAATAAGGAGTAAGTTAGTATAAGTAAATCAGTGGTGCCGACCTTTAATGGCAGAGAGATATGCCGAACTCGTCGGCGAATTGCCAAATCTCTTTGGCGAGTCAGGTCGAGCTCGCCTACGATTTTTCCATGATAGCTTTCACTAGTCGGCGATGAGAAAGTGCGAATCGCCGATTACTATCGGCGATCAAAGGTTGTTTCGCTGAAAGTTAAAGTGCAATGAAGATTCAGGAATGCAGATAGAGGGCGATCAAAGTCACTTTAGGCGAGCTGCCTAGTTGTTTGACGAACCCTACCTAGTTCGCTAAACAACCTAACGTGCCTTCCTTCAATTCAAATTCGACCTCGCAAATTCCCAAAATATAATTAACAGTTGCAATAGTGAAATTAAATTAAGACCTATGACATTCATTCACCCAAAGCTCAAATCATATCATGCATAGGCAAAGAGGGATTTCAAAAATCGAGATCAATTAGGCATGATTCTCAGATCGAATCTGGCATTTAGACAAGATAGGTTTATCAGAGAGAGGCCTAGCACATGTCAACCCAACCAATTTTAATTTAATAAGAGAACAAAATTTTAGTAGTTTTAGGAGTTGGGAGAAACCAACCTTTTATGATGCTTTAACTATGTTGAAATGCTAGGAAGCAATGTAATCCCACGCCTTAACACTAATCGATGACTAAAATAACAGGAGTATAGAGATAATGAAAATTACTTACTAGGTGCAGTTTTTCGACAGTAGAAATTGAGTGGAAAATAAACATTTTTCCATTTTTTGAAACTATTGGTCTTTAAAAACTGTCTAGTTGTTGCTCATTCGGCGATATTAGTTTGTACCGCTGAATGATTCAGCGTTACGCCAAGCGATTTCTCTCGCCGCCGATTGTTACAGACTATAGATTGGATCTTGAGTATGCCGGCGATCTAGATCGAAGTCGCCGAATAGTTCGGCTACTCACCGAATGGGACTATCAATTACCAATCCACATTTTTCATTCATTCTCCATGTTTTCTCCTGCGAAATTAATACACCATTATTTCTATAATAAAACTAAAGCTTGTAAAGGTTTTGGGTTGCCTCCCAAACAGCGCCTTAGTTAATGTCGTGGCACAACGCAAGTCGATGCTCAAACTGGCTTTTTGGTGTTACACCTAGTGTAGCTAGGTGATCCCGTTTGCTCATACGAATGAAGCTGAGGTAGTGCAAGATTCAAGAGAGTTTCGATTAGCTGAATAGACCTAGAATGAAAGCCACTCATCTGATTCAGTGTTTCGACATTTTCTCTAATTTCCTTTAGTACTTTGTCTTGCTCATTCAGCTTTTGGAGGATGGTTAACAACGTATCGTTGATACGTCTGTTTTCAATGTCCATGCATCTTCCCTGATCCGTAGATGATGGGTGCTTGCTCTTTCCTTTGGACATCACTTCCAATTCTTCGACCTTTTGGGTCAAGCCTTCTCTATTATGTATACTCATTGTCCTGCCTCAACACGCAAACAATTAAACAAAACTAAAAATTAGGTGAGTAAACTACTACTAACAAGAACAACAATTCTATTAGTCTAAAAATTCTCACATAACACCAATCCCCGGCAGCGGCGCCATTTTGATGCTTATCGTGACCAACGACACTATCCTACGATATGAGTGTCTACGATCGTCAATAATATAGTAACCTAACTGAAAGTTGGGATCGAGTCCCAAGGGAGCGGTTTTGAGAAGTAATAAACAATTAGAATTTCATTCAAGTTAGTCGTAGTTAAAGACATTTGCGATAAAAGACATTGTAAATGCAAAAGAGGTGACACAAAAGTGTCAAATATCAAAAGGGTTTTTTGTAACAAGCACTAAAACAACAAAATAAATAAGAAAATCAAGTATGGGAAAATGTTCTTGGGATGTGACCGCAATACAAGTAGAGATAAATTGTTGGGTACATGCTTTCGATTGGAGATTTGCAAAATAATAGTAACTAGGCTAAACTTTAAATGGAAATAAGTTCCCTCTCGGGCAACTTACCCCATTTCAAATGCGTTCCTCTCGGACACCCATTTGCCGCATGAAGACTAGCATACGCCTTACCCCACTCACTCTCTCGAGCTGAGTGTTAGGATATGGGACTAGGGCTCACCCTTTCAGGCTGAACCTCATGTTGACCCTCTCCTTATGAAACGACCCCAAAAATGCCCGAAAATGTGCTTCGGAAACACCTATAATTGTAATTTCCATATATCTCAAAATCCGTGCATGATTTCGGAAATTCGACTTCATATTCTTATTCAGGGGGTAAAATTGAGTGGGAAATGGGTCTAACCCGAATTTTAGAGCAACCGTATCAAAATTCGAAAATCGCAAAAAATGCAATTTTCAGGGTCAACTTTAAAGGGGCATATCTCTTAGCACACAAGGAACTGGAAGGGCCGCTACCTATTAAATTAAAGCCCTTCGAGTTATCTTTCCAATGCAATTGGTTTCACCTCATTCTGAGTTAGGATGAAGGAGTTATGATCATTTTCGTAAAACCTGTCGGAGCAGAATTTCAATTTCCAGTAGCTAAAGTTACTGTAGCGGCTGGACGTTTTTCTTTTATAAAAAAGAGGATTGTCCCATACTTAGTTATATTTCTTTCTAGTTTCAAAACACTCTCTAAACCCTCTCCAAAATTCCACCAAGATCTTCAACCAAATTCAAACATCTCAAGTTTTAATTCCGGATTCAAGACTCAATCTCAAGCATCAATTCTCCATTCCAATCCTCATCAAGGATTCTCCAAAGTTGAGGTATGTGGGTTGATTGTGGAAACCTTCCTTTCCACAAGTCCAACCATTTATCCTCTATTTTTACTTCAAGTTTATGGATCCTTATGATCATTTATGAACTCTTGAATTATGGAATTACTACTACACATCCTATTATGGTCTATTTTTGCATATTATCATGAAATGGAATTATTATGTGATGTTTATGGTTTTCATGCTTCCATGATCAAATTATGAAGGTTGATAT